CTCTTCCAAAGACAGGAGACGTGGAGGACGTGAGAGTAGAGCGCCTGGGGGGTATGATGGCGCGGAAGACAGCGTGAGGGCAGCAAAGGGGTCACATTTGGCGGGGTTGTCGGGGATGGGGAGTGGCAAGAACCGCGTCTCGCAGTGGAGGACGTATGTTGAGCCGGGGATTCCGGATGGGGAGAGTACAATTGGGCATGCATAGGTAGTCGGACACTCGGAGGAAAGGAAATGTGTTGTGACTTTGGATATCCGGGCTGTTTGTAGCGACAGTTCTGGCCATTTCTAGCCCTTACTTGGGGTACAGTACATAGTTTCTGCACTTGTAATTGGACAGCCACAATTTACAAATACATAGGTATCAATGACAAAGTGATTTCGCCCCTCCAGCCCGAGTTTACACATGTACATAGACATGTAAGTACGAGGTAGGTATCACGGTGTGCCTATTTCAACCCGTCCGGCGTCAAGTTGTCAACTTGTCAACGGCCACGCCCCGCTGCACGGCTGTCGGTCCCCCCTCCCGATTCGGCAGGAGCGGGGTACGGCATGTGAGCCCGTCTCTTGCAGCCTGCAGGTGCCCTGTAAGTTCGCTCCTTCAAGCTTGTTAGAATTGATCATCTCGCGAGCAGCCCCTTTTCCAGGCACCATCGAGACCCTGAGCTCGACGCGTCGCCATGGGAGCATTAATACACCAAGCCCGCTCTCGGAAATAGGCTTTGCCTTACTGCTCTTGTCGTTTCCCTCTTTCCGATTACATACCTACGGTGCATGCGCTCGGACCTCGCTGTACCACGTGGCCGAGGATGCTGGCAAGACAGCTGACATCATAACCTGCTTGCGACAACCCTCGTGCTCTCTCTCGTGGTCCCTATTTCACCCATCTCTCACGACGCCCCCCTTGGGGCCGAAGAGTTCTGGGAAAATGCTTCTCCTGCACCAGGTCGGCAGTGTCAAGGTCGGCGAGGTGGTCCGATACAGCCTCACGTACACGCCCTCGCAAGATCGAATCCTCCCCTCCCCCGAAAAACTACATGTTCGAATTCGAAACACCTCGACCATCGCCCTTCGCGCTGCCTTTGTCCACGGGCCCTATACTCTGTCCGTTTCGGCGTATCCTTCTCACTTCAACCCCAATGAAAAGTTCACCAATCCTCGCCGGTACGGAGCCCCTCGGTTCGAGCCCATGCTTAAGGCGGGAGGGTCCTGGGAGTGCGAGCTGATCGTTCCGGACAATATTCGCCAAGACGCCGGCATCGGAAGCAACAAAACCTTTGGAAAGGGTCCCGAACACGATGGAGAATGCGCAAAGTGGGTGATTGAAATAGCCTCCCAGGTCATATTCTCCACTTCAGCCGCCGTGGGCTTCGATGTAGTCGTGGCGCGCGATCATAAATCTCTCAACCTCAACCAGTCACTGTCGTCGATTGGGGGCAACTTCAGCCAAGTGCCGCAGCCCGGAAAACTGATCGATCACCGGCAAAGTGTCGGTGCCAAGGATGGGCACCATCCCGGTCAGCCAAAGGGTGTCTTCTCAAGGGCCATACAGCTCAAGGTGGAGGATTCCGCGGCGCTTTGGAACACGCCCAGCCTTCCCGGCTGGGATGATGACGCTGGAAACAAGAGCACCGGAAAGGACGCCGGTGCGAATCAACCTGTGCAGAGCGTGGTGAACACTGGTCATCCGGAGATCGAGGAGCTGAAACAACCGAAAAAGCCACACGGGAAGAAGAAAAAGGTCCATCTTGTCATATTGACGCATGGTCTGCACAGCAATTTAGGCGCTGACATGCTTTACATGAAAGAAAGCATTGATGCGGCCGCTAGGCAAGCACGCATTGATGCGAAGGCTAGAAGGGCAAAGGAGAGAGCTGCAAAAAAGCCAAGGGCCGATAAACAGCCTGATGGCTCGATGAAAGAAGATTTGCCGCCTAAAGAAGGCGAGGATGGCATCGCAGATGATGTGGACGATGACGACGACGACGATGAGGAAGTCATCGTGCGTGGATACCCTGGAAACGCTACTAAGACAGAGAAAGGAATCAAGTACCTTGGGAAGAGGTTGTCGCGGTATATTCTATCGATGACATATCCAGACCAACCATTTCTTCCGATTGCGAAAGGAGCTCTGAAAGGCGGCGCCGGTGAGGGTGCTGTTGAAGCCCTAACGGGTGATCACCATCATCACCACCATAGTCTTCATCCTCATCATCTCTTTCACCAGGACCAGCCACACCAAAACGACACTCACGAGGTGAAACAAGCGCACAAGAATAGTGATATCCAAGCCGATACTACCAAGGCAAAGCATGATAGACACTGCAGAAGTTACCAGATCACAAGCATAAGTTTCGTCGGACACTCTCTTGGTGGCCTGATTCAAACATACGCTATTGCTTATATACAGAAACATTCGCCCAAGTTCTTCGATCTTATTCAGCCCGTGAATTTCATTGCGATGGCGACCCCTTTTCTGGGGTTAAGCAACGAGAACCCGCTTTACGTCAAGTTCGCCCTTGACTTTGGACTTGTGGGCAGGACCGGGCAAGATCTTGGCTTGACCTGGAGAGCGCCTACCATTGCTCGGATTGGATGGGGCGCTCTTGTCAGTAACCTCGGCGAGTCGGCGCATAAGAAGGTGTATGGCGAATCACAGCCCGAGTCGAAACCACTGTTACGAATACTGCCCACCGGCCCGGCTCACACGGCCCTGAAGAAGTTTAGAAACCGCACAGTCTACTCCAATGTGGTCAATGACGGAATCGTGCCGCTCCGCACAAGCTGTCTCCTATTTCTCGACTGGCAGGGTCTTGGCCGCGTTGAAAAGGCTCGGAGAGATGCCGGCTTGGTAGAAACGGTTGTTGGGTTTGGGTGGGCAGAACTGACCGGCACGAACATGGCGTCATCGAGACGCAGGAAGCAACTCGCCTTGGAAGAAGAGCAACAAGACGATTCTGGTACCACTACTCCCAAGGGCTCTCCCAAAGAAGGCATGCGACAAGTTCCGCAGCCCTCCAATGATGCGATGCATGAAGACGAACGAGCTAGCATCCGTTCTGTACCGCGGGCTCATAGTGATGAGGATGACGAGCCTGGTGTGGAAAACAGCAGTAGCAACAATCATCACAATGGTCCAGGCTCTGGCATCAATTCTCGGTTATCCACCTTCTTCGGTCTTTTCAAGAGCCAAGATCCGTCCAAACCCCAAGTTCCGACGGCGAAGCAGAAAAGGATGCTGCGGCGAGGACAAACTATGCCTCTTGCCAGTTCCGACATAGCTGCCTCGAGCTCCACTGAGGAGTCTGATAGAAAACAGCAGCAGCCGCAGCCAAGCAAGGCTACTACCGGACATGAGGTTGATGGCTATGCCGATGGCATGTCGGCACCACCAAAAACGACTTTCTTCGAATCAGCAGGCGATGTGCTCAACCCCAGTATCCCAAGTGAAGAATATCTACTTGACCCGTCTAAGAGACCGAGAACCATCTTTCACGACCGAGTATACCATCCCAGTGATATCCCGCCGCCGCCGCCGCCGCCGTTGAAGAAACGCCAGTCGACGTTCGGTCGTCGCAGCAAGAATTCTGCCAAGATTTCGGGCTCGCCGCAACCATCAGAGCCAGGCAGTCGTTCAACATCTCCTCTCCCGCCCAACAATTCGCTGCATGCGGATTCCAAGGAAACCGTCTCGGGCAAAGACCACGGCGACGACACAGCCAAGACCAGCCCTGAGCTCAACCCCTCGGAAACCGTAGACGCTTCCAACATGAGAGTAGAAGAGAAAATCGCCCGAGGCTATCACCGAGATCTGTCGTGGCGCAAAGTACTGGTCAAGTTGGAGCCAGATGCGCATAACAACATGATTGTGAGACGCATGTTTGCCAACGCGCATGGCTGGCCGGTGATCAAACACATGGTCGACGCACACTTTAGCGACTCCGAGACCGCACGCATTCGCGATGAAGAAGAGCCCAACATGGATCGAGCATTCGAAGTCCATCACGGACCAGCCGCCGATGGACGAGAAGTAAGGCCCTTGCACCAGCTGCGCAACGAAGGTGACTACGCCAGCGGTGGGGACAGCAAGCGCGAAGGTGGTGGAGAAGTCAATGAAGCTGGCGAAGAAGCTTTGGACGAGGTGCCCGAGCTGCCCAAGAAGAGCGACAGCGAGAGCATCCCCCTGGGGCGTCCGCGACTCGAAGCCTCAGACCGAGCGGATTCCATGACATGGAGTGACCGAGACTGGGTGGACTCCGACAACGAGAGCGACATGGAAGCCTACAGCGGGGGAAAATCTGGGCAGTCGCAGCAGTCGCAGCAGTCACAGCAGTCACAGCAGTCACAGCAATCGAAAGGGTCGTCAGATGCAGCAGGAACTACGTCCCCAACTCTGAGTCCCTCATCGTGGAAGTGGGCAGCCGAGAAAATTGTGGGCAAAGGTGCCGTGGGGGGTCGGAGCAAGAGTCCCCAGTCGTAACGGGGATTTTGGTGAGGGCTTTGCTGCGGCATTATTCATCTGTGTGTACATAAAAGTTTGGATGAGGCCCTAGAGGGCTTGTAAGGGGCGGATGCGATGCTGTCTGTATCTGTGTGTACATATGAGGTTGGGCGAGAGGGTGTTACCAAGAGGCATGTTTCACTCATGATGGAGAAGGTGCTTTACCGTTTTAATATACTAGATTTACGCTCTAGAAGGAAGATCTATCCGCAGAGTTGTGGTCATTATGATTATGTCGCGTGTTCAGGCCCAGCGATGTATGGACAACTCGCATATGACCTGGGTATCGCACCTCGAAAGTTTTTGGGCATCAAATTGACAGACAGCAAAAAAAGTCCTGTGCCCGGTTCGGGCGCGACATTTCCATGAGAGATACGGACGTCCTAACTCCTGCGCAGTGCGAAGGATCTGTGTGTCCACTGTCCACTGTCCACCATCAATCAGTATTCAAACTTCATGAGTTGCAAGCCAAAAAGAAAATTGAAATAGCAAAAGTAAGGCTTGGACGAACAGGGAATCGAACCCTGGACCACTCCCAGTCTCGGCACTGACTGTCTAAGACTCAACGTCCTGCAGTCGCCTAGTGCTAAGGGAGTATTATACCACTAAACCATTCGCCCAGATGATGAAGACTTAGTGCGATATTGCGTACTATGAATGTATTGATAAAAAAAGTAGATATACGTCGCATCCTCGACACTTTGTCCTTGGCTTTTCCTCACCATGCGGCTTTTCTGGAAGCCACATGAGCTCAAAAAAACGCAATCTCGTCAAATCATGCACTTCTGTGCATCGCCCATTTCCCGCGCGTCAAGTAAGTGGGCCCTATCCCGACAAAGTTCAAACGCCGGCAAGTTTGCCGCCACAGACGCTCCGAGAAGGCGCGCACGTGATGCTGCAGGGCCTCTGGCAAGTACGTGTAACGTCACCACGTCGGGCATCGCGCTGTGGCCCACGGCCCACGACATGCCGTCAAGGATTTACGACGAAGGTAAGCAGGTTGCTGTCACGAACCCTTTATTAGTTACTGCTAGCTCTACTCTTTCTGCCCTTTCTGTGTCCTCATCGAAGCCTACGCTTCACGGCGATCCTCTCTCTCTCTCGCCGTTCCGCGCCATGGAGCAATAGGTAGAGTCCGCCCTGCATCTCACCCCTAGTCGTTTCCACTTTGTCGTCGCAAAGCTGCGCCCTTCTGCGCTTCCTCCCAGGAGTCAGGACGAGGAAACTAGGACGGCCTCCCATCGCTGCGCCTCCCTCAATCATTCACATCTTTGCGGTCACCCTCTTTGAAAGTTCGAGAGTGAGGAACAAACTGCATATTTTGCAAGAAAATCCCAATTATTTGCAACATATACAAGAATTGATCGTCGTCGTTGGTTCTCGTTCAAGCTGTGTGGGCGCCTCTCCTCCAGCATCACGATTGTATTGTCGCGACACGCTCCCGCTCTGATAAGTCGAGATCAACAACAAACCCCAACCTCAAAGGGGACTCAATACACCGAGAAATCATGACAATGCGCCTCTACCTCCTTCCCCTTTCCACACGGCGGAGCCTCCTCTACGCCCAGCGCTTGCACCACGCGACCGCCCCGACTGACACCTCGTACTTCGACCGCGGAGCTGCCTGGGCAGAGCGCACGTGGTCCAACTGGGAGAAGAAGGAATCAGGATGGCAGAAGAAGGTGGTTGAGTACGGGAACCACGCGTTTCGGCGGATACCCTACGAGGAATGGGGCCTGAAGTCTGTGCCGCTGCTGTCGAGCCGGGAGCAGCTGCGGCGGCATAACGCGGAAAAGGGCGAGGAGCAGACGCCGGAGCAGAACCAAGATCACGTTGATCTGGTGTTTCCGCGGAGTGTCATGTCTGAGGCTCAGGCGGAGGACGCGGTCAGAAGGATGGGCAGTGAGCGGGATGGGCTGCACAGACGGAGAATGCTGTGGTGTATTGTGGGAATGCCCATCACGATTCCCTTTGCGCTTGTGCCAATGTGAGTTTTCTTTCCACATCCCCCCCCCCCCCCTTCGATCTTACGCCCTCGTCCAGGCAGGGAGACTTCTTGCTTGATTAAAAAAAAAAAGAATCGGGGCTCTGACGCATAAATTTGTCACGCAGCATCCCCAATTTGCCCTTCTTTTACCTCGTCTACCGCGCTTGGTCGCATTGGCGCGCCATCGCCGGCGCCAAACACATCCAATTCCTCGTGTCCAAGAAGCTTCTCCGACCGACGGCATCTCCCGTCCTCGACGCCCTATACAGCCAAGGAGGCGCCCAGCAAAAAACACAGACTCCCGCTTCCTCGGATCCGAGTTCCTCAAGCTCTAGTCCTACCTCGCAGGAGACACTGCTTCTGAGTCAGGCCCAGGTGCGGAGCTTCTCCGAAAAACTGGACGTGCCGGCTCTGGAAATCGAGCTCGAGAGAGCAATCTGGCAGGTTGAGCAGGCTATTGGCAAGGAAATCAGGGAGGAGGAGTTGAAGCCCCCGGGCGCTGAAAAAGAAAAGGAGTCATGAAAATATGAATATATGAAGGGTAATGTAACTGGGATCTGTATGATGACGCATATACGCTTTTCCTAAAAAGTCTTTGGCTATTTCCAGCTCATAGAGGGTTAGTTATATACAGCTGAGCGCGGGGGCTTTGCGCGCTTTTTATGCGTGTTTGAATGGGTATATCTCTTACCCGGGTAGCCTCCATCAGAGCCTCTGTTCAGTGTATTTTTCCACCCTGAAGCATGTCTGCACGTCTGCAAGATCCCCTTGGGTAATAACGGCGCCATTGCACTGGAAGATGACTCATGGATGGCCTGTTGTTGATTCTAGGATTTCACGCGGTAGCAGTGTACGTGACGTAGTACAGGGTCTTGGTGCGAACGTCTTGTGTTCCCTTATCACATCGAGGGAGGCGGGGAGCCGATGTGGATGACAGTCGCGAAATCTACGTATTCGGACCTGCCTGCCGGAGCTTCGATGCATACAGTAGGGACTCGGGAGTATCCGAGTTCGAGCGCAACGGCCCATGCCCATCAACGATACACGCGACAGAAACCCACAAGAACACTCACTCCAGCTTGATGGAAAAGAAACGAAGCGCACTGCTATCACAGTCCAATTATCTTTGCAAGCTATGTGCAAGGAAGGAAGAAACGGATTAAATATGTAAGGCTACCCAAATTATGCCCAGCCGGTCATCCTCAAACCGCCGATATGCTTAGGAAACAAGAAAAGGAAAAGGTAGGATAGAAATATCGAAGCGAGTGACCAAGGCCGTCCGCGTCGCCTTGGGTCCCTGTATGAATAATTATGTGTTGTATACCCAATTGCGGCGCGTGCCATCATTCTTCATTCTGCGCGTCAAAGGACAAATAACCTCCAAACTAAACGAAAACGCAGCACCATTACCCTAATAGACATGCTTACCGTAGTCGCGGCTTGTACTACTCCGAAATAAACGTAGCTTCCATCAGTAGCTGGCCCTCTTCGGCGATTTCTTCATCTCCGATTTTGAGCTTCAGTGTCATCTTCGGTGTGTACTGAGGACCGAAAGAGTTGTGTGTCAGTGAGGAGAGCAGCATGAAGGATTCAGCCGACGACGACAACTGTCGTATATATGACATACCTGGTAGATATAGGGCTTTGTACCTGCCGCAGCAGCTACGATGGTCTTGACGAAGCCCGGCACTTCTGCCATGACATCAACGCGGTCACTTCTCTGGCCCAAGCTGCCCTCGATGGTGGCGCTGACTGGCTTGGCATCCTTTTCGGTGCCTTTCCACGCCATCTTGACCGCACTGGGTTCCGGCCACTCGTTTTCCGTATCGTTCTTAACCTCGGCATGAATGATCTCGTGGCCGGCGCCAGCAGTGAGAATCTCGCCATCCTTGGCGATACCACCCACGTTGACCAAGGTGGTGCCGTACGAGGCGGGGGTGGTAAATTCCATCATGATAGCAGAATAGCTGGGGCTCTGGAAGCAGACAAAATTCCATTTGGCAGCGGCGTGGTGAGGCTTCATGCCCTGTAGCGCAAACGAATACATGGCGCGGCCCTTGAAGTCGACAGGGCCATCGGGGGTGGTGATTGTACCTTCGGCGGCGCATCGTGGCCAAAAGACGTGCCGAATGCAGCCCCACGGTTTCTCGAGGTTGGTGCCGTACTTTGTGGTTCCGGTCTTGCCAGCGACGAAGCCGGGGGCAGTTCTAGTAATCTTGATGTTGACGATTGATCTCTCATCGTTCATGCTCTTGATGGTATACTCGTTTCCGTCTTTCGAGAGTTCCAGGATGCAGTCGTCGGCAAAACAGCCGGTCTGGTCCTCATTGAATCCAAAGTTATTCAGAGGGGTCGAGCACCACAGGTGAGGCTTGGATGCATCTTTGGAGAATATCTTGGAGTTGAACTGGCAGGTGGTCCGCATACCGCTATTGGTCCAAAAGAGAGATAGTGCGGTGGATTAGCTCAGAGTACATCCATGGCGGCCTTGAAGGTAAATCGAAAGACAAAAGAGGAGAAGAGGACGCTCCACGCACGCAACGTTACTATAGATGACTTGCACGAGACCAACGTCACCATTGTCCGACGCCAGATAAAAGGTCTGAGTCTCGACACAGGTCGAGTCCATGGCCTTCCATTTCAGGTCATCGCGGGTGATCTCCGTGTACGGGATGTCCTTTGCTTCTTCAGCGACGGATCTGATAGCCGACGGGCCATAGATGGGCTCCTGTGTGCCGGCGACGTTGGCCAGCCTGGCGACGGAGAGAACAGGATTCATGGGTTAGCTGAGACTGCGGAGCCATGGGGCGCAAGAGCCAGGCTTTAAGGAGCTGCGCGCTTTTTCCAAACTTACTGTTGCTTTGCCCAGTTGAACATGATGCTGAAGGGGGAAACCGTGTTTATTTTGTTGCGAAAAGGAGGCAATGGTAAGGGAGGAATACGACAAGACGATCGAAGCAAGTCTGCTGCGATGAGGAAGTGGGATGTGGAAATGCGCAGGGGGGGCCCCTCACTGGCGGGGACTGGAAGGTGTGGCAGTAGGTAGTGTAGGTACCTAGGCTGTAGCCTGTAGGCTGTAGGCTGTAGCTGAGGAACAGAGGAGTGGCACAGGCTAGAGCAGTAGCAGCACCGGCGCAAACGGCGCAAGTACCTGCATATGTACAAGTGGGGGAGCGGGACCCGCGGGATGACCTCAGTCTCAGAGGCTATAGCCCTCACTGCTCAGACGTTGCTTCATCAGCGATCAAGCACGAAGAGCCTGCCTGGAAGAGGAACTTGGGCGGGGCCCACAAATCAGTGGACCTGCCCATCCAAGACGAGATGTCGAGGGCATTTGTTGAACGTGGTCAGACGCAACGCTTCACTCTAGAAAACAACGGCACGCATTCACGGGTCGTAACACACTCCTTGCGCAATTTATCCTGTATCTACACCACTTACAAAGGATTATCTACCTATCTTCTGGATCTCCCGCTCCTGAAGGCCCCGAGGGTTCGATCACGCGCTGTCTGACCACGCCTTTCTCGCGAACGAACCTCGCTCTCCGCCTCCCTGCACTCGATACAACTCGCTCGGAGTTGTGGTCTCATTTGCGCGGCAGAAAAATACTATTCGGCTCTCGTTACTTAGAGC